CGACCGAGCGGCCGCTTCTTCTCTCGTCCCGCCATGTCCAAGTGTCACCTCTGCCACGAGCGCCCGCCAGCCCTGAAGCGGCCGAAGGACGGCTCGTTCGTGTGTAAGGTGCGCCCTGGTTGTTTGTCCTTCTTTCGCTCCCTTCACACACGCCTCCCCCCAGCGCGATTCACGCGGGCCCAGTTGACACCCTCCCTCACGCGCCACCCCTCCGTGCCGCCCCTACCCGCAGCAATGCTTCCTTGACATCTTCGAGGAGGAGGTGCACCAGACCATCGTGTCGAACAAGCTCTTCCGCCCTGGCATGCGCGTGGCCATCGCCGCGTCCGGCGGCAAGGGTATGCACCCTTCGTTCCCCCCCCCCGTTCCCACTGCCTGCCCTTCCTCGCCCTTTCCGGCTTCCCCACTTGTGCCCGGGGCATGGCGCTGACCTCTTCCGGCTGGTGTGTCAGATTCGACCGTGCTGGCGCACGTGCTCACCCGGCTGGACGCGCGCCACCAGTATGGCGTGCACTTCTCGCTTCTTTCCATCGATGAGGGCATCGCCGGCTATCGGGATGACTCGCTGGCGGCGGTCCGGCGAACTGCCGGCCTGCCGCCATTGGATCCGTCGGACGTCCGGCGCAATGACACCTGGGCCGTCGGCACGGCGGCCCCCACATGCCCGGATGGCGTGGCCGACGATCCGCACGCCGCCGGCAGCCTGGGCCTTCCGCTGGAGGTGGTGTCCCATGCGGAGCTCTTCGCCGGCTGGACCATGGATCGGGTGGTGCAGACCATCGGTCAGAAGGGCAACTGTGCGGCGCACACCCACATGCCACTATCTCTCCCCCCTCCCGGGCCCCGCTCTCCCGTTCGTGGACACCTCCCACTACATGTCCCCATTTGCCTGGTGGCCCCCCTCCCTCTCTCTCTCTCTCTCTCCGCCCCACCACTGTCACACAGGCACCTATTGCGGGGTCTTCCGCCGCCAGGCGCTGGACCGTGGCGCGGCCCGCTTGCGCGCGGATCTGATCGTCACTGGCCACAATGCGGATGACATCGCCGAGACCGTGCTGATGAACCGTGCGCATGTTCTTCTCATGGTCCCCTCTTTCCCCCCTCCCGCTCCGCTGCCCTCCCCCTTTTCTTTGCCCATCTTGTGCCCTCCCCCTCCCCCCCCCCCCCCCCCACTTTTCCGAGCCTCCCCCCCTCCTTTTCAGCCTGCCCACTCGCACCCGGCACCAGCCTCGCGTGCTGGCCATGGAGTTGCCTGGGATACTAAGCCCGCCACCATCCGCCCCAGTCCTCCGTGGGGACATCGCACGGCTGACGCGCTGCACGGCCATCGTCACTCACACGTCCGGGTCCGATGGCCCGGGCGATGTGCCGGTGGTTCCACGGTGCAAGCCCCTGAAGTATGCTTACGAGAAGGAGATCGTCATGTATGCCTTCTTCCGGCGGCTGGACTATGTGGCCACCGATTGCGTGTACTCTCCGCATGCGTACCGCGGCCATGCGCGGGTCTTCCTCAAGCAGCTGGAGACAGCGCGGCCGAGCGCCATTTTGGGTGCGCACACAGGCCCCCCGACGGGCATCCAGACCCTCTTGTCCCTTTGCTCGTGGGCCTCCGGGACACTCACCCCCTTTTCCCTCGTCCTCTGCGCCCTCCTGTCCCCGCGCCCTCCCCGCATGTAGACATCATCCACAGTGGCGAGGCGCTGACGACCGCCCGGCAGGGCACTCGCCTGCCCACGCAGGGGGTCTGCTCCGTATGCGGGCACGTTTCGAGCTCGCGCGTGTGCGCCGCCTGCCAGTTGGTCGACCGTCTGAACACCTTCGAGATGTGCGTGCTCTCGCTGCCTGCTCCTCCCCCCTGCCTTTGCTGCTTCCGCCCACCTCCCTGGCGCTCTCGCCTGCACCGGCAGTCCTGCCGTCATGGACGATGCGATGCCCAGGTAGGATCGGGGGAACAG